AGGTCATGTTTGTTTAAAAGCAGGCGTGACAGCATCATTCATCCAAGGGCCTCGGTTTGCCCCGTTGAACATAATGTGACAGTGATAGCAAAATACTGAGTTGAGGACACTCACTGTTGGCTTGTAGTTAATCTGTCTCTGGATCCCACCTGCCAATTCAAGATTAGCCAATATATACTGACATTTGGGAAGTTTTGAGGTAGTTGTTCAGTGTTTACAATGGTGAGCATGTTTGTGTACAGGATCTGGGGGGCTGATTGGAAACAGTAGCAGGTAAATGCAGTTGTTTCTCATGGGAACCATAAAGCAAACAGATGGTTTATTAGAGTGTCACTGAAGAGAATATGTTAGGGTTTCATGCTGATTACTGACCTTTTGTGTATCCTTTTAAGAAAACTCACACCTCTTTTGAATTTTTATGTCTTTTTTAATCATAAGTCATATCTTTTCATGTCATGAGCAAACAAACATCTTCACTGGTGAAACTGGCTTTGTATTGGTCCAAATCAGCTACCTGCTAACATGGACAGATTAGCCAATTGTATCTTAGTCACTAGCAAAATACGATTGGAATCCATATCAGCTTTTATTGCTTTATGCTTTTGTGGATCCAAATAAAGGGCAAAAAAGGAAAACTCAATTTTTTTTTCATCCTTTTTTAATTTTACTGATAAGTTTTAAGCTAAAATTAGCCCATGTTACTCATTTCATAGAAACTCCATGCCAGTTCCCTCAGGCTGTTTGAGACAACCAATACCTCTTTTATGGTGTTATTGTATTGTACAGTGTGTTCATACACTCGGGATTATGGGCATTATGGGGAAAGCAATCCTGAGAGAGATAGTTTATTCTGCTGTGTGATAGTTAACATTAACAGAGGATAGTTTTCACTAGAAACTAGAGTGAGTGTTTTGGAGTGGCTGTCTCGAGCTAGTTTCCTGTTGGGTTTGTTTTGTAAACTAATGTGAAAAAAAGAGAAAAAGAATCAAATAGACGTTTAGTGTGTTTCTCTCAGGAATCACATCAGGTGCAGATGATCTGTGTAAACAAGATAAAATACACATCCGTGCAGTCTTTTAATGGGAAATGCCACAGCTGTTCCTGCTTAAACATGCTGAAAAATAGGGGGCATCCGGATTTGAACCGGAGACCTCTTGATCTGCAGTCAAATGCTCTACCACTGAGCTATACCCCCTGTGAGTATGCAGCAGCAGGAGGATGATTACCTGAGGTGTGTATTAATGTGCTCTCTATGTGGTAGCATGTCTTTTCTGTATATTAATCGACCATGTTTATTTCCTTATCAGCAGTTCACTTTTCATGCTGAAAGAACAACAACGCCATCCTTCTGATTGCAGACAAATGCGATTAGTCGGCATTGCGTTCCCATGACAATGTGGGCAGGGTGGGCTCATAATGCAATGTGTGGCCTCTGCACAACCCGGACAGGCCATTTGCCAGGGGTCTACCAATCAGATTACAAGGTCCCAGTTTGCATCACAACATGAAAAATGACATGTAATGAAGGCAGTTCACGAACACGCTGGACACATTTTCTCTGCTCGACTTCCTCTACGGTCTGGGACTTGGGCTGCTTTATCTCTGGCTCCATCTAACCGCCTGATCATATTCAGAAGCTTTTACAAACGCTGCGCCAAATGTTAATGGCTGCCATGCTCCTCGGAAACAAGGTTTTTCAAGAAATATGTCAAGATAATTATCGTAAAGGAACATAATTAAACCTTTTCTGTTTTTTTTCTCTTTTCTCAAAACCTTCAGGGAAAGTACGCCAAGAGGAAGAGCCGATTTAAGCGCTCAGATGGAAGCACCTCATCTGACACCACCTCAAACAGCTTTGTCCGACAGGTAACATTTCACACCTAATCCTTCCCTCAGACTTAATGAGGGCGCCAGACTTGGCCTCATCTTGTTTAATGAAGAATTACAAGTTTAATGGAATCAAGTGAGAACTTTTAGTGCCTTTGCATTTCAAGAGTTGCTAATGAAAACTCGTGGTTTATTGAATTTATTAAAGTTTTTATTCCCTTTTTTTAACATATGCAAATTGAAATGTTACAAGAGATTATTTAAATGTGTAAATCAATACAAAACACAACACAGTGAACACATTGTAACAAAAAAATAACTAACATATATCTGTAGTACAATATGAAATAAAAGTGTAAAACACAACAGGGCAAAGAATGAAAAATAAGAAGATAAAATGAGTTAGTGGTACTGTTAGTTTATCACATATACTAAAAAAAGAAAAAAAAATACTTTGTATTAAGTCTGTCCAAAGCTCATAAGAATTTCCATGGAAATTGTTAGCCCTTGTAATTAATCCTAATCTGACTCTTTCAGTGCCAGAGAATGACTGCAAAGCTGTGTTAAAGCCTGCAAAAAATGTTGTTTAGATACATTTACATTGGCAACAGTAATCCTCATCCACTTTAACATGTGTATAATAACAATATCTACGGGTGACTTTATTGCACATAAATTTATCCACCGCATCCACAAGTAACTGAAAACATCAACAACATGATCCTCATGTAGTTAGATATTCTATTTAACCTCTCATTCATTTAGTATTATAGTTTTTCACAACTACCATACAATGTCACTTTTATTAAAAATAAACAAACAAACAACCAAAACCACATTTTTGGTCACATTTTGTTTTAGTCACATAAAACAAACTATTTGAATATGTGAATTTTCCAGATAAGTAACATTTATCTGGAAAATCATCATCACTTACAACATATTTATATTGATACAGATTGATTGATATATTTATATTGAATACATCATTGATGCATTTAACGTCCATTTAAAGTTTTACTTAAAATTTAGCAAATTTACAGATTTTAACTTAGAAATTTACTGTAAATTTCTAAGTTAAAATCTGTAAATTTTGTAGTAACCTGTAAATTTGTATATTTTACTGTAAACCTACTGTCATTTAATGGTCGGGCATTGCACAGCTATTAGCATTTCACCTCATGTCATACTGTGTATGGTTGTGTGTGTGACAAATAAAATTTGAATTTGAATTTGAATTTGAAAGGTGAGCACTGAAAACATGTTTTTCTGAAACATAAATTGCCCAATTATCAGAAGTATTCAGGATTACTGCATCATAATCTGTTTGTTTCTGAAAATCAGAAACAAGAAACAGTTTTGGATTCTAAACATTCTCACTGTATATTTTTCTCTGTATTACTTATATTTCATTCTCTTCAAAGTAAAAAAATATATAGTTTTTATCCCATACATATGAATTTAAGTGTAATGGTTGTAGACAGGAGATCTAATAAACAAACATAATATTTAAAAGAAAAAAAATTGTTATGGCAGCTAGAATAAGTGTGGAACCAATAAGTGTTTTATTGCAGAGTTAAGAGTAGGTTACATTTTTATGTTTGCAGTTCTTTCTCTCTTTACCTGTGCATGTCACAGGCAGCACACACACTATATAAATAAACATTCATGATATGATAATATCTTACTAAAACCCCTGTGGATGCAGCTGTGCATCACAGCATTATTCTCAACTAGTTTGAGCTGAGAGACATCTGCACAGATTCCTCCAGGTCCGACTGTGAATCCCAATCCCCAAGTCTTACTCATGCCACACCAATGCCTTCTGATCTGACCCCTCCCGGCCTGTTGATGTGTGTATACATGGATTTCTCTGTCAATCAATGCACGTAGTGAACAAGTTATAGCTTTAAACTTGTCCAGCTGCAGATGTTAATGTTCCTGCTCGGAATGACTGAAGAAGCCTTTCTTCTTGAGCTGTGAACATTTCTTCTCCTCGGGGGGTTGAAGGAGTTGGTTTGGGTATCACACGCTCATGACCCACGCAGCAGTCCTTGTCTGGCTGTGACATTTCTCAAAGACATGCTGCGCCGCAGCTAAATGAGCCCCCCTTTTCCACCTGACCTCTTCATTTGAGAGAGGGAATGATGCACCGCGAGCTGAATGACATTTACCTGTTCAGTACTGGTGTTTCTTCAGAAAAAAAAAATCTCACTGCCGTGTGGTGAACACAGGGAGCTCAACTCCCCTGTGGTTTCTAAAGGTTAGCCACATCCCTTGCCTGCACATACCCTCCTTCCCACTGCCTTGTTCTTCATTAAATTTGTGACGGTGGACTACAGGTAGACAGGGTTCATATCACCCACGCTGTATAACGAGCGCATTACCTATATAGTAAGGATGATTTCATGCTTCATGATATAAATATGCTCCCATGCCTTACACTACTGCACATCAGATCCACTCATCAGAGTTGTCAGGGTTGATGTTGAGCTGCCAAAATGTTGCGCATAATGTAAAAAGTGATTTAGCAACTCAACTGTTAAGTGTATGGAGTGTTTCCACACATGCACACAATTTTTTAAACTATGTTAAGATATTTTTTAAAGGTGTTTATTCCAGAAAAAGAAGCATAAAGAGGCGTTATATAGGTTTTTCATACATATAGCCCTTATTAGCCGAACAACTGAAAGCAGAGCCCTGTATAGGCTTTACATTCTCACACACACCTACGCAAGTGCACACGCGTTCTTTCACACACACACACACACACACACACACACACACACACACACACACACACACACACACACACACACACACACGAGTAGACGAGAGCCACAATCAACCAACAGTGGAGCGGCTGGTACACTCGCCTGGTTTCCACGGCAACCGGGCTACTGAATCTCTCCTTGTGTGCAGGCACAGTGGGATGGAGAGACGAAGGAGAGCATGTTTAGATGGGGTTGTGTTTGCTCGTGTGTGTGTGTTTGTGCGTGTGTGTGTGTGTGTGTGTGTGGGTGCAGCCTATGTGTTTGTGCAGTGTCAAGTTCAACAAAAACACACTCTGTCTTCAGGTGTGTGAATACAGGCAGGGACTGTCTGCTGCTGCGGCTGCTGTTGTGTGAAGTTGGGATTATTGTATTTGCTCCAGTAGTATTTGGTGATGATGTCAGTAAACAAAATATTTTTTACTTGCATATTTATGTTCACCTTTTTGGATCAATCATGTCATGATCTCAAGCCAAAACACCCTCATCAGGGACTTCTAACACCCCCACCATGGACTGCTATCCCTGCTGGAAAGAGGCTCTGCAGCACTTGGTGCAGGACCACCAGGTTATGCACTTGCGTTTTTCCCGAGGTCATCGGAAGTGCTGAAATCTAATTTGATACCATGTTTCTATATGTTAATTTCACCGGTTGCTTTAAGCATTGCATTTTATATGGTAATTTTGGATTCTATATATTTTTATATATTTAGCATAGGTGTTTATACTTTCACCCTGTGTTGAACCAACTGCAGTGAAATTTTGTTCCTTGTATGCTTGCTGTGAATGACAACGAGTCTGTCTGTCAAATTAACAACCCAAAAAACAGACACAGCCATCACTGCTTCGTGATGCAACATCAGTTTAGAAAGGCTGTTATAATAAAAACATGACTTCTAATAAGGACACAACAAGATCCTTCGGATAATGTGAAATCCAGCCTGAACTTCCTATTCCTCTCTAACCCTAAACGTCTACATGAAGCATCTCTTACAGAGAAGGAACCCAATTGTATTTTCTGGATTTAATCACCAGTGATGTCCAGTAGTTTAGTTTTTAAGCCGATGCTGATACGACTTCACGTTTAAAAAGAAAACAAACTGAAAGAAAAAAAATCTGCGAAATGAGGATGACTATATTAAAAAAGAAGACTGCTATTTCCCTCTGCAGGAGTTAATATTTAGCAGTCTAGCCCTGTTGGGGGGCCTCCCCACCTCTCCACATGCTTAAGTGTAAACCATAAAGTGTAATTTACAGTACAGGGTTCAATCCCTGAAGTATTGGACAATGTTGTTGTTTGCATTTATACTTGTGTGCTGGTATGTCTACATTGTCTGCCCACAAGTAAAACACAGGTGTTCATAGTGGACTTGAAATCCAATAATCTTGAACAACAATTACTACAGGACAGAAAATGCCAGAAACCATTCTGAGCTGTCGGAGCTAGAAAAATTAATAAAACAACATATCTTTTGTACACTGTCAGAATACTAACTATTGCATTACTGTAGTGAGCATGCGATTAGTGCTTTTACTGAAATATTATCCTTGAGCTTGTCTGCCTACAAATCACAGTAGAGAGCAGCAGCAAACCGATGCACAGAACAGAGTGGGGATAAAACACAAAAGGTCCTTTTGTTATACCAGACATAGCATGAAAGTTGGAGTTGAGGTGGAGGTAGGTTGCAGATGCAAGACAGCAAATCTTTATCAGAATAGCTATGAAAAAACAGAATCAAGCTGTTGCAATGACCCAGTCAAAGTCTGGACCTCCACCTGATTGAAATGATGTGGAGAGCTGTGCATACACGAATCCCTGCTAACCTCAAGCAACGTTGTAAAGGAGAGTGGGCCAGAATCCCCCCGTTTTCACAGTAGTCCCTGCAGTCGAATCAAAATTTTCTTTTTAACATGATTGTATATGATCTTCCAGTTTGCAGGTCCTTGATAACCAAATTTATATTGCAAGATGTGAGCTTTATCTTGATGGAATAGCGTTGTGAGTTCACTATTAAATGTGCAGGATCCCATCATTTACACTCCACAGAAGCATACTCTGTGTGATTAATGTGATAGATAACTAACTGATAACTGCTGTTGAATAAATTAACATTGTGATATGAGAACTTCCACCTGAATAAGACTCACCTCAGTGCAAAGTTCATTGCATTGCAGCAAAGATATGACATATTTTAGTAGGTTGAGTGCTAAATTTGCATTACAAGACCTGCAATATTGTTTCAGTTAGTTAGTTAGAGTTTTGCAATATTTGAAATATGTTTCACTCATCAAAAAAAGCCATATAGGAAAATTTATCCACAATTTGAATGTCTTAAAAACTATTTGAATCATTTAAAAAGTAGAATAAGTCAAACTTGCATGTGGTTTTGCTTTAAACACAGATTCATTTCTGACATCAGAATACCAAGACCCATTAATCTTCCCATAGACAAATCCTGGCTTGGTTGCCATATATGAAGACTTTGAGTGTTTAGATCCCGGAGAGATGCAAGCCGTCCTCCTGTCAGATCTGACATATGAATCCCAGCAGAGAGCCCCAGTTGCTGCTGTGTTTGGCTGCTCGAGGAGCCAGCTGGTATATGTGTTAGCAGCTCTCTGTTTTTTCACCGTCCCTCAGCTGACTCTGTTGTCACCGGTTACAAACACAAGTCAGGAAGGGGTGGTGGGGCCTATAGCCATGAAGAAGCCCCTGTCATTGTGTCAAAGGTTGCCCTCTGGTGGACACAGTAGACTTTTCTACCCGCTGCCTCCACAACACCTCCACCTACAAGTATCTGCTCTCCAACTGCCTCCTTTTAGCCTTTTAATAGTGTCCTATTTTGGATAATGTTTAAAATGTAGAAGGTCATGAGGTATGAGCGGTAACTATTCAACAGATACTTCAAAGGCTCGAGTCATCAAGCGCCAGTTGCTTCAAAGTGTCACAGCCCAGATCGCTGCTCTTCATGTCCTCCATTCCCTGATGCTGCACTGACTACCTCTCTTGTCTGTTTTACCTCTGCTCATATCCATATTATTCCTCATCTGATACCCCTGTTTCCAAGAGATAGACAAAGAAACAGAGAGAGCTAGAGAGAGATTGGGAAGAATGAGATCAGGACAGAGGCAAGGGGGACTGAAGCAAAAAAGAGAGAGGGGAGGGGGTTTCCCTGGGCACTGCCCCAGTCTTCTCCCGCGTCAGCTGGGGCACTGAATGGCTGACGACTGCATACCAAGCCTCCTTCTGGGTCTCAGTGCGTTCACGTCCCTGTTTCTGCCCAGCCAGGGCTAAATATATTTCCCCAGTTTGCAAATGTAGCACAAGTCCTGCAACCTGACCCCCAGCCAGTTCCAGCTCCCTTCCTCTACACAAGGTTCACGTTCCTCTGGGTTGTGGAGGTGGGGGGTGGATATGTGTGTGTGAGGGTGTGTGTGTGTGCGAAAGGGTTGGAGGTTAAGAGAGCGCTCACTTAGTTTCGGGCGCACGACACTCTTTTCTGGCTTTCTCTCCTGTCACACACACACATACACTCACAAATACACACATACACTCATGCACTTGTTAAGCTAGACACTCACACTAGGTCCCACGATATACACGTTACTCTGTCGGCGGACTCTGGCGTTGCCCCCTTGGTTTGCCGTGGTGTGGCGAGTGTGGCAAACGAGGTATGGAGAGGACTGAGAGGATTCAAAGGCCTGTGTTGGTAAGAAGGATCTGGATTAATCTACAAGCTGTGCACTTTCTGCTGTGCCTGACTCAAAGTATGTAATGCAAGTGTGTATCAGTTTCCTTTCTGAATGAACTAACTTTTGAAAATTCAGCAGAGGCTCTGAGATATGACTGGAGAATATAACTTTGTGTACCGTCCTGATAGCGTTATACCCCCTGCTCTGCGGCTTTCTTTGCTCCCCCTTGACTATACGACTGTGCGATTCCATTTTGGGCCGGGCCACAGCTGCTGGAAAGGCGCTGTGTTTTTAATTAGACTTCCAGTCCTCACCGTTGCGTTTGCAGCTATGTGGACTGCCTCTCAGACCAGGACTGTGGCCATTTCAGGGGGGTTTCTTTTACTGCTGTCCCTCAATCTCTGGCCTCGGTTGAATTGTTGATCACTGGCGTTGGAACTGCAGAATATTTTAAGAGAACTACGACTTGATATCGTCCTTGTTGCGCGGGTTTCCATTATGTTTGTAGTTGGTTTGGGGCAATAATTGAGTTAAACTTCAGTTGAATATTTTTGTAATGATTTGCAGCTAAAAAATGTTTCCTCTTTTTATTAATCAATTTATATCAAACATTTGATCATCTACTGTCAGTAAATAACAATATGGGAATGAAAATACATGTTGAAATGTTTCAATTTTCTAGAAAGAAATCCTGAGATTTGTCATTTTATCTGATCTCAGGTGTGATTGTATTAACCCTTTTTTATTAGAAAGTAGAAAGAATAAATGGCACCACTGTGACGTTTCTGTAAATTGAGTATTGACAGATGGACAAATGAAACTTATATATTGTGTTGTTGTTTTGTAAAATTGTTTTGTCTAAATTGAATGAGCAGTTTTGTACATAGGGACGCACATGCGATACACAAGTCATCACTTTGATTCATTTATGTGCAAGTGAGCACTAAGGACTGAGGCTCAGGAGTTTCCAAATTTGATCTTGGTTTAGCCTGTTTATGTTGCATTGCTAACATATTTAATTAACTTACACAATGTTTGTATTTTGTGTGTATTATAGCATGTATATGTCTCATTAAAATCTGCTAATGAAACTATGATATTTTGCATAAGAATTAGCTTTAAATTGTAGCACATTTGTATGTAGCACATTTAAACACAACAGACATTGTCCAAAGCACTGCACAGCAAGTAAAATTATCGAAACAATACAAATCTTTTAAGAACAATGAAAAGAGTCATAATGATGGTAATTCATGTATTCAGCTGTACAAGCTTCAGAAATTAAAAACTATTAGAAGCTACTGATCAAGAAGACCTAAGTGAGCAACATGAGACACAGACATTGTAAAAGATCTCATAAATAACCAGGAGCAAGCTCATGCAAGCCAAGCACTTATATGTGAGCAACAGTATTTAATTAATTAATCCTGTACTTCACGGGAAGCCAGGGAAACGATTTAAGAATTAACTGTGATCACGCTTCTGTGTCCTTATCAGGAGGCTAGCAGCAACATTTGGAACCAGCTGTTTTTGCTCCGTCCGACCTATAATTTGTTGCAATAATCCAGTCCAGATATAATTAAAGCATGAATAACTTTCTCTAGGTCACTGATAGAAAGAATTTTTATAGCTTTAGTTTTAGGTCCTGATTGAAAAAAGCCAGCTTTAATAAGTGATATGTAAACATATTACCAACAAATTTCTTTACAAGTGAATTTTTGCACTGCACAGTAATGTCTTTAGAATGATTTAGTTTTTCCATCTTACTTACATTTACACAGTTGGTTCATTATGTACACTATATACATTTGGTCCCAGTCTAATGTATACAGGCAAATATAATAATCTTTATACTTTAAAATAATTAGATTTTTAGATTTCTAGGGAGTTTAAATGCCGTTAATAATGATCACGGTTTTGTTTCTATGATAAAATAAGTGAAAGTATAACAGAAAATCTAATTTTTGTCTTCTCCCTTATTCTCGAGGATCATCACAGCAGATGTCCTGAGATTGATCTTTTGCTTGTGTTGCTTGTGTTGTAAACCTTTTCTCTATTGGTGTCAGAATTTGGCAGCCTGTGCTTTCTTGATTTATATGTCTCAAAAGCAATGAAGAAAGATTTTCAATAATGATAAACTCCAAACTCCAATGGGTTTTGTCCATCAAACAGTTCAGTATTAGAACACTTGCTTTTACACTCCAACGTTTGCTTGTTTGTGGGGATTTCTGATGAGTTCACTCCATGACTCATCTTTCTGGTAATCTCCATTCTCCGTCCATCTGGTTGCCATGACACTGCTGTGACAGAGAAGGGGCCATGGCCATTTACAGCCACTGGCCATTAGCTTCAGCCAGGAAATCTTTGGTCTGTGAATAGTAGGTTTGTGAGACATATATTTTGCTACTTCACCATTTCTTCCCTCCTACCTCTCTTACTGAGTTAACCCTGGATGTGGTATGAATACACAGTCGGTGAAGCTGAGGCTGAGACTGTTGATACATTCTGGTTGGCTCTCAGACTTACTTGTATCGTTGTGTTCTTCTTCTCTTAACTCTTTGATGACTGTGGCCCCGAGGAGACACTGAGATAAAGCGGATAGGAAAAGAATATTAAATCTTGTGGTTTTTAATATTTACACATCTTCTGATGTGACAATTGTGAATGCATTTTTATCTGAATAATTACCAGGGCAGAGGATCACAGTATGTGTGAGCTTTCTGAGGGTAATTATTTCTTTCTAACCCATTGTGAAGTCTGACAACACCTGTGGTGTTCCTGTTGTTTGTGATACTCACAAATTAACATGTTTGACCTCTGCACTGTTGCCTTGCATAACAGAAAAACACTGCTGATGATCTGCTGTGTTTTTCTAAAGATGTTAGGAACAAACATGGGGACAAATACAACATCAATGCCAAACGAAGAATTTCATTTTGTAAGCTGAGGCTTAATGCATGCTACTAAAATATATCTGCTACTACTACTACTACTTTATTTCCAAATTATAAGTAACTGCAAAAATCAGCCAATCAACTGATCTCAGTGCAAAACCACATCAGATGATTAGTCAGGTAATACCCATCTATGCATCCAGTTAGCAAACATCACATACGGTATGCTAGTTAAAGGGGACCTCTCTTTTTTTCCTTTAATGTCCCTGCGTACAATTTATAAAAACCCCATAATAGATTGATGTGTACTAAACTGTTCCCATGAGGGAAATGATTCAAATGCAACATATGGAACTACATTTGTAGTTCTCTATGATGTCATCTCCGACACACAGCCCTGGCTGTAAGCACAGAAGCCCCACTCACCTGCTGTTCGAACATTTTGGAGGGTGGGAGCTAAAAAGGTTATTTTTAAGCTGCTTTAATAGTGTCTATTAAATAAATATAAAGTTGGAAATGAGCACAAGAGGTCTCCTTTTATGTGATTTAGCCTGGAATAGCTGCATGCCACTTTGTAACCCAACTCCTCCTTTTGATGCTGGGCCAAACTCAATCAGGAACTTCAGGTTTGTCGCTGCTGGTCTCTCCGTCAGTGCTTGCCTGTGAAAGGGCGAGGAGATTTCCGAGCAGAGCTGACACCAACAAATATAAATTACTTCAGATGGAAAAAACAGCTCTTTTTTTTTTCTTTTTTTTTTTACCGTAGTATTAACTGATTTCCTTACTGCAGGGTGACTCTTTTCAACCCTCATTATTCAAAGCACTTGCTTTTACCATCCCGCCGTCGCTCCTTATTCTATTACCCCCCTACGTTCTGTTGCACTCCCTCTTTACCTCCCCCCCCTCCATTTATTCAATATCAATGCTAAGGAGGTGTAAAGTCATCATGATGGCAGCCACTGTGCAGAAAATGGAAGGAAAACAGTTCATGTTCGGGACCATTACTGAACTTTACCTCCCTTTCTTTTCTTTTTTCCCCACTATCTGCTCCTTCTGTGAACAAAGGTTTTTGGAATTTCATCCATTAGATGTGGGAAACTGTAGCATTTAAAAACATTGATATTATATCTGCTACATCCCTTAAAAAGCTTACCCAAAGCCCATAATGTTTTGTTATTGTTATTGACATGTTATACTAAGGCCTATTGACTAGACTGCGGTCTCCCAGTGTGAGAAAATACCACATTGATCACCTGTTGAAATGCTTTTATACAATTTCCCTGCCTCTTATTTCACATCAGGGCAATTCATTTACTATTGATTCCCATATCTTCTTTCTGTATCTCCTTTGCAATACAGCGCTCTGTGGCTGCCACTAATAAGCTGCAGCCATGGTTACTATGACACTGCTGGGGTCTCTACTAGGGCCCGGCCAATAGGAAAGCAGCTCTGCCATCAGGTGGCCTGTAGCTATTTTGAACAGGAGCTGTATGTGAAGTGAAGCAAGCAGCTAAATTAGAGACACAACTCATTGACTTCAGAGAGGGAGACGAGGAGGAGGAGGGGAGGGAGGGAGGGGACTGTGGAGGTGGAGGAAATTAGTTCATTTGTTTGCTCAGTCTGTCCACACATTTTGATGGAATTGATGGGAGAAAGGTGTAGAAAGGTTATCAAGTGGTTTCTATTTTTTCTTCTCCTCGTTTCCACTTTTTTTGGGATAAAATATTGACTTTTGTGTCCTTCACATTTATTCCTGGCTGTGTGTGACATGAATCAAGTTATTCAAGCACAACTTCATAGTGATCTCTTGTCCCTCCCACTCCCTCTATATTTTGCTGCATCACCGACCTGTTGTACTGAGCGTGTTATTCACAGGTAGTTTCCAACGTCATTTCAGCTCTTATTCTCTAAAAACATCCCCCTGGGTTCCCTTCCAGTGTCTGTTAACCTTCTCTTAGGCAGGGCTTCACATTGGGATGCACCTCTATGGTGTAGAAAATGACTCAGAGTCACTAAGTACAGGCGGCTATCCTCATTAGATGCGGCGTACCACTCACAGGATCATCCTTCCTACTTGAGTGGGATGTGGGCGCACCGCTTTGAGTGTTCGAGTAAATGAAACA